ACTCACATTCATTTTTTTTTATAAATGATAGCTTCAGTTTTACAATATTGCAGTAATATTCCAGTTGCACTCACAGTTGTTTTTATACAACTTCACCGGATTGAATTTCATTCAGCCTCTGATTTGTATGTAACAATTATCTCAGTTTTTCAAGTTATCAACTTGATGAGTAGAAACTCATACATGGTCACAGCCAGGAAATATTGATCTATTTTAGCTTTTCTGATGAAATAAAGGCAAGGTATATTTATGTCTTGTTTATGGAGTGTAATCAGGGTACCAGTAATACCTCAGTATAACGCACCTTGATAAAAGGAACTAATGATAAGTCAAAAGCCACTAGATAAACTGTGTTTTAACTTCATTTAGTTTTTTATTTTTATTCTGTTATAAATAAATTGCGTATTAGGTTCACAGTTGAGTACTTTACTGTTTTTCCTGTGATTTTTTAACAATATTCTCGAAAATGGTATAAAATACCGACAAGTTGAAAATTAAGACACGTGTGCATCAGTTGGGTATGTTTATTGATGAAACGTTTCGCCTACACAGTAGGCTTCTTCAGTCAAATACAAAGGCAGCAGTAGAAATTAAATAAAGTTGATGTTAATCAGTCCATCAACCTTGGAGAAAAAGTATTTAAGGTGGTCAGTCCCTCAGCCTGGAGAAGAGTTCAGCTCCATGGTCTGGAACAAGGTGGTCAGTCCCTCAGCCTGGAGAAGAGTTCAGCTCCATGGTCTGGAACAAGGTGGTCAGTCCCTCAGCCTGGAGAAGAGTTCAGCTCCATGGTCTGGAACAAGGTGGTCAGTCCCTCAGCCTGGAGAAGAGTTCAGCTCCATGGTCTGGAACAAGGTGGTCAGTCCCTCAGCCTGGAGAAGAGTTCAGCTCCATGGTCTGGAACAAGGTGGTCAGTCCCTCAACCTGGAGAAGAGTTCAGCTCCATGGTCTGGATAGTTCATCAGTAAAGATACCCAACTGTTGCACATATGTCTTAATCTTCAACAATATTATCATTTAACAGACACTCGGAGATTACCCCTCGTTAGCACATTCGATTATTATTGAAAGAATTAAGATTATTACCATTATTATAAAAAGGTGCTAATCCTGTAAGGATCATACAGTATCTTTGGAATGGAAGGTAATCAGGTTAGAGCCAAGGAAGGGGAGAGTAACTCTAATCTTTTGGCTCAAAAGCCCTTCACCAGTATCGTGGTATCCCGCCCTTCTTGGGATAAGAATTAAGATTTTTTTTTTTGTGAAATGATTTCTGATATCCCATGTGCTGCAACTTTTTTCCTTTGCAATGACTTGTAAATTCTCAGGATGATGTCTCACTGGTCCTCTCTTTGCAACACCCATAGTCTTAACCTAGCTGTGTTGATTTCAATGTCATTAATTACTTATGGATTCTTTCCGTTTTTCTTTTATCCAGGTTAATTTCCTATGACTATATTTTTCACTCCTTTCTTCCTTGCCATTAACATCTCTTTCAACATAATTAGTTCTATGTATGCTTCTCAGTCATCCTTTACCAGTTCACCTTCATTAACATATTTTCAAACTTTACTGCCTAGTTTTTTCCATAAACTTCTATATTATGAGACTATGCATAAACTTTTGTTCTATATCAATTACTTTCTCTGTTTTCCTTGTTATCCTAGTGCAGTTAGCCCTGTCACTTCTGCTTAATTATTTATCCTTACGTTCTTCCTTTTCCCTCCTGTTTTTTGTACCCCTTTACTTTTAGCTTTTGCCTCAGTATACTTCATAAACCATGAACTTCTGTTTATTTGTACTTGCTGATGCAAATCTGATTCTCTTGCACATCTAGTGTAGCCTGTCTTCATCTTGAGTACTTTTTCCCTTTCCATATCCTTTAATATTCCACTCGATTTATGAACCCTCTCATCCCTGTGAAATTTTCCTTCCTGTAGTCTGGTTTCTCTTGCATTTCTCTTTCTTCACTTTCCATCCTCATCTCCAACAGCATGTTAAGACGAAGGATCATGGGGGCCACTAATTCCGAGGGCTTCTATGAAATTAAATTTTCTCCATGTCCACTATACATAAGTTCCAATCTTTCCGTTGTGTCCACTCCAATGTGTGTGTTTTAACATTCTACAATACACCAATAAAAAATGTTTTGAACCAGCTTTACAGCATGCACATGCTGCAGGTTTTGCCTTCAATTAATCATTCACTTTTCACCTAGAATAATATATCTTCATCTGTTTTCCAGATTCATAACGTATAATTAAAACGCGAAGGCAATACAAAATATCTTTAATGAGTCTCACAAATAATTCTTACTTTCTTTCTTCATGGCAGCTACTGCAAATATAATTTGCCTTCCCCTCCCCTATCACAGTGTAGCTGCAAATATAATCTGTCTTCCCCTCCCCTATCACAGTATCACTGCTACTGCAGCTGCTATTGGGGCTGCCGGTATTCCCCAGGCAGGTCTTGTCACCATGGTGATGGTTCTGGATGTTGTTGGTCTTCCCAGCTGAGGACATGACTCTCATCATCGCTGTCGACTGGTTGCTGTGAGTTGTTCTAATATTAATAGCTTAATGTAAATTGCTTTTATATATGCTTTTAATTGGCTACCTATTAGTGCTCTGTTTTTCTATATTATTTACTGTTGAGTAAATTACATACAAACTTTTGTTAAATTTGAAATGGCGGATGTGAGAGCTCTTATTTTAACATATTATTCTTCCCATTTGTATACCTGGAGTATACCTGGAGAGGGGTTTCGGGGGTCAACGCCCCCGCGGTCCGGTCTGTAACAGGCCTTGTATTTTTAAGTCCGTTTTTTTCGCACAAAGTTAGGGTGATCTAAAAAGAAAATACATTTACCATCACTCATCTAATAGCAGTGTTACCAGAAGAACACGGACGTTACAAAAACTATTACTTATGGAGTTGTAATAGTTGAAGACTACATCACATGTGGGCAGGGCCCAGAAGGTGGGCCAGAGATTAGCAGAGGAATTTTAAGACATTCTGTGCTTCAGGATCTCATGATGTTGCTGTGTCACACAAGTATAATTAGATCAGTGGTATAATACCGACACTAATAAGATGTGAAACCCTTGAGCAAAATACCAGCAATACCATGGAATCTTGGTGCTGAAAATCTCCTTTTCAACACTATTACGAATACTTGACCCACAATATGTGATGAACTTACTTCATCATGTGAATCCATTTTTAACTCTTGTAGCTCTACAACTGCGCAAGTAACAGTGCTTGTAACGACCTCTGGCGTCACCGGATGAGTGACAGTAAGTAACCTAACACTATCAACACAAGTGATTCAGTACGTGCTTCCAGGATTAAATAAAACAGTAGACTTGGACGTTTTTTTTTCCAAGAACAGTGAAGAATGACAAACGCTACTTGACTGAGAAACAGTTTTGCAGAAGCAGAAGTTTTATGACGTTACATAAAACCTTGAAAATTTAAAATATTATATGCTGTCCAATAATTATTGACTTACTGGCTTTACTTCAGTGAAAATACGTGAAAACTTTTATTAAATATAATCTTAGAAATGCTCAATGATTGACTACAGGAACACAGTCTATCACATATATCCCTAAAACACCAGGAGGAACCTCCCTACCAATCATCTGCCTAATTAAACTTCATAAGCCCATGAGTGTTGTAAGAGGCGACTAAAATGCCCGGAGCAAGGGGCTAATAATTCCTTCTCTGGAAATACTAATTGTAGAATGAAGAAAAACTTTCCTGCTTTTACTAGTATGGATCCTATTACTATCACAACATGCAATGAAACTGGTTGAGGTCTGGTGAGGACCATGGTGATGGTTGTTGTCTGGTGAGGACCATGGTGGTGGTTGTTGTCTGGTGAGGACCATGGTGATGGTTGTTGTCTGGTGAGGACCATGGTGGTGGTTGTTGTCTGGTGAGGACCATGGTGATGGTTGTTGTCTGGTGAGGATCATGGTGATGGTTGTTGTATGGTGAGGACCATGGTGATGGTTGTTGTCTGGTGAGGACCATGGTGTGATGGTTGTTGTCTGGTGAGGACCATGGTGATGGTTGTCTGGTGAGGACCATGGTGTGATGGTTGTTGTCTGGTGAGGACCATGGTGATGGTTGTTGTCTGGTGAGGATCATGGTGATGGTTGTTGTCTGGTGAGGACCATGGTGTGATAGTTGTTGTCTGGTGAGGACCATGGTGATGGTTGTTGTCTGGTGAGGACCATGGTGTGATGGTTGTTGTCTGGTGAGGACCATGGTGATGGTTGTCTGGTGAGGACCATGGTGTGATGGTTGTTGTCTGGTGAGGATCATGGTGTGATGGTTGTTGTCTGGTGAGGACCATGGTTTGATGGTTGTTGTCTGGTGAGGACTATGGTGATGGTTGTTGTCTGGTGAGGACCATGGTGATGGTTGTTGTCTGGTGAGGACCATGGTGTGATGGTTGTCTAGTGAGAACCATGGTGATGGTTGTTGTCTGGTGAGGATCATGGTGTGATGGTTGTTGTCTGGTGAGGACAATGGTGATGGTTGTTGTCTGGTGAGGATCATGGTGTGATGGTTGTTGTCTGGTGAGGACCATGGTGATGGTTGTTGTCTGGTGAGGACCATGGTGTGATGGTTGTTGTCTGGTGAGGACCATGGTGATGGTTGTCTGGTGAGGACCATGGTGTGATGGTTGTTGTCTGGTGTGGACCATGGTGATGGTTGTTGTCTGGTGAGGATCATGGTGATGGTTGTTGTCTGGTGAGGACCATGGTGTGATAGTTGTTGTCTGGTGAGGACCATGGTGATGGTTGTTGTCTGGTGAGGACCATGGTGTGATGGTTGTTGTCTGGTGAGGACCATGGTGTGATGGTTGTTGTCTGGTGAGGACCATGGTGATGGTTGTCTGGTGAGGACCATGGTGTGATGGTTGTTGTCTGTGTGAGGACCATGGTTTGATGTTGTTGTCTGGTGAGGACTATGGTGATGGTTGTTGTCTGGTGAGGACCATGTGATGGTTGTTTGTCTGGTGAGGACCATGGGTGATGGTTGTCTAGTGAGAACCATGGTGATGGTTGTTTCTGGTGAGGATCATGGTGTGATGGTTGTTGTCTGGTGAGGACAATGGTGATGGTTGTTGTCTGGTGAGGATCATGGTGTGATGGTTGTTGTCTGGTGAGGACCATGGTGATGGTTGTTGTCTGGTGAGGATCATGGTGATGGTTGTTGTCTGGTGAGGACCATGGTGTGATGGTTGTTGTCTGGTGAGGACCATGGTGATGGTTGTCTGGTGAGGACCATGGTGTGATGGTTGTTGTCTGGTGAAGACCATGGTGATGGTTGTTGTCTGGTGAGGACCATGGTGTGATGGTTGTTGTCTGGTGAGGACCATGGTGTGATGGTTGTCTAGTGAGGACCATGGTGATGGTTGTTGTCTGGTGAGGATCATGGTGTGATGGTTGTTGTCTGGTGAGGACAGTGGTGATGGTTGTTGTCTGGTGAGGACCATGGTGTGATGGTTGTCTAGTGAGGACCATGGTGATGGTTGTTGTCTGGTGAGGATCATGGTGTGATGGTTGTTGTCTGGTGAGGACAATGGTGATGGTTGTTGTCTGGTGAGGATCATGGTGTGATGGTTGTTGTCTGGTGAGGACCATGGTGATGGTTGTTGTCTGGTGAGGATCATGGTGTGATGGTTGCTGTCTGGTGAGGACCATGGTGATGGTTGTTGTCTGGTGAGGACCATGGTGTGATGGTTGTCTAGTGAGGACCATGGTGATGGTTGTTGTCTGGTGAGGATCATGGTGTGATGGCTGTTGTCTGGTGAGGACAATGGTGATGGTTGTTGTCTGGTGAGGATCATGGTGTGATGGTTGTTGTCTGGTGAGGACCATGGTGATGATTGTTGTCTGGTGAGGATCATGGTGTGATGGTTGCTGTCTGGTGAGGACCATGGTGATGGTTGCTGTCTGGTGAGGACCATGGTGTGATGGTTGTTGTCTGGTGAGGACCATGGTGATGGTTGTCTGGTGAGGACCATGGTGTGATGGTTGTTGTCTGGTGAGGACCATGGTGTGATGGTTGTTGTCTGGTGAGGACCATGGTGATGGTTGTTGTCTGGTGAGGACCATGGTAGTGATTGTTGTCTGGTGAGGATCATGGTGTGATGGTTGTTGTCTAGTGAGGACCATGGTGATGGTTGTTGTCTGGTGAGGACCATGGTAGTGATTGTTTTCTGGTGAGGATCATGGTGTGATGGTTGTTGTCTGGTGAGGATCATGGTGTGATGGTTGCTGTCTGGTGAGGACCATGGTGATGGTTGTTGTCTGGTGAGGACCATGGTGTGATGGTTGTTGTCTGGTGAGGACCATGGTGATGGTTGTCTGGTGAGGACCATGGTGTGATGGTTGTTGTCTGGTGAGGACCATGGTGATGGTTGTTGTCTGGTGAGGACCATGGTAGTGATTGTTGTCTGGTACTCTCCTATTTGTGGTTGCAGGGGTCGAATCATAGCTCCTGGCCCCGCCTCTTCACTGATTGCTACTAGGTCCTCTCTCTCCCTGCTCCATGAGCTTTATCAAACCTCATCTTAAAACTATGTATGGTTCCCGCCTCCACTACGTCACTTTCTAGGCTATTCCACTGCCTGACTACTCTGTGACTGAAGAAATACTTACTGACATCCCTTTGATTCATCTGAGTCTTCAACTTCCAACTGTGACCTTTTGTTTCTGTGTCCCATCTCTGGAACATCCCGTCTTTGTCCACCTCGTCTATTCCGCGCAGTATTTTATATGTCTTTATCATGTCTTCCCTGACCCTCCTGTCCTCCAGTGTCGTCAGGCCGATTTCCCTCAACCTTTCTTCGTAGGACAGTCCCCTTAGCTGTGGGACTAGTCTTGTTGCAAACCTTTGCACTTTCTCTAATTTCTTGACGTGCTTGACCAGATGTGGATTCCAAACTGGTGCTGCATACTCCAGTATGGGCCTGACGTAAATGGTATACAGAGTCTTGAACGATTCCTTACTGAGGTATCGAAACGCTATCTGTAGGTTTGCCAGACGCCCGTACGCTGCAGCAGTTATCTGATTGATGTGCGCCTCAGGAGATATGCTCGGTGTTATACTCACCCCCATATCTTTTTCCTTGAGAGGGGTTTGCAGTCTTTGGACCATGGTGTGATTGTTGTTGTCTGGTGAGGACCATGTTGGTGGTTGTTTTCTGGTGAGGACCATGGTGTGATGGTTGATGTCTGGTGAGGACCATGGTGGTGGTTGTTTGGTGAGGACCATGGTGTGATGGTTGTTGTCTGGTGAGGACCATGGTTATGGTTGTTGTCTAGTGAGGACCATGGTTATGCTTGTTGCCTAGTGAGGACCATGGTTATGGTTGTTGTCTAGTGAGGACCATGGTTATGGTTGCTGTCTAGTGAGGACCATGGTTATGGTTGTTGTCTAGTGAGGACCATGGTGATGAGTGAGGTCAGTGTCGAGATGGTTTGGTGGGACCCTGGTAATATTTTAGATAATATATATAATGTCATATCCAGGAGGAAGCGCTAAACCTGCACGGAATCCTCTAGTGCCTAGCGAATGGAAGGTAATCAAGTTTGATCCAAGAAAGGGCACCTCCAATTCATTAAACCAAAAGCCCTTCACCAGTATCGAGTAACTTCCTATGGAGGGAAAAGACTGACGTGTATACTTGTACATATTGTATACACTCTTGTTGCATACAGTTATATATTCTGTTTTATATATTTCCTTGTACATACTTGTAGGTGATAAGTACAGCTATTTTTTTATTTTCCTATAATGGAGTTTTTATGTGTTGAGTTAATTATTCCTTCATATTCATTAATGTTATTGTAGATGAACTCTTTGTGTCGATAAATCATTCTCTGTTATTTACTCTATTTTTCTTTTGGGACTGTTTTTAAGTCCTTAGTTATTATCATGTGTGTTTTTAACTGGTTTCTATTGTTAATACTTTTTCTTATTTCCTTCTTAGTGATCGATTCCGTACCATGATCAACGTTCTTGGAGACAGTATTGGTGCTGGGCTTGTGTACGAACTTAGTAAGAAGGAACTGGAACAGATGAGTATTAATGCTAATGGTGACGTGGAGCGACCTTCCAATGAAATTGCTATGGACGCAGTCGAATCCAGCAAAATGTGAGAAACAGTGAAAATAAATTCCCAGCTCGATATAAATATTACCTGTTCTACCAGCCCTTGTACCTTACACCTGGAGGGCCTTGGCACCTGCAGCTCAGCCATGGACGTGAAGCACGGCTGGACGGAGCTGATTTCTTCACAACATGAAACTCTTCTCTAAAATGGTGTTCCAAAAGGTGTCCAGTGACCTCTTGCCTAAGAATGGTTGGCAGGTGTCAGCATGATTCTTCCATACCTTCTAGAGGTAAATATGTGTATTTTACATTCGAGGAAGATATAAATACAGTATCAGATGTGTACGATGTATTATGACTAAGAATTGTTCTCTGAGAACAACAGTCACTCATACTTAGTCTGGTACGTTATTCATCTAAGACTTCCATGTTGTTTACTGTTGAAAGAGGAATACAGAATATTGTGTAGCTACTACGTAAGAAAAATTAATGTAAAGTTACTTTGCTGAGAAATTTTAAGTTAAATATCTTTACAAGTATTACTGCATCAATTACATAACGTCTGAGTTTTGACTTATTCGTTAAATATTTTCTCTTTATTTAGATTTGAATCATGGCATTTTATATTGTTTACTAAATATAAATTATTCATAGAAGTACAATTCCTCTATTTGCACACTGATAAAAGTATGCAATGAACAGATTCACTATGATTTTTTTTTTCATTTTTTCTGTGGGCAACTAAAATCATATCAAAGAATTAGTGGAGAGTGATCCACTACAGGTGTATATAAGAACGTGCATTTATTGTACATCACTTGACAATTTATTGCTTAGGTAAAGTATTTGGTAACGTACTGAAGCAGTTTTGTTATTGTTGTCTTGTTGGAGAGTATACAGAGATATATTGTTGTCAAGTGTTAGAGCCTCAGCTGCTGTGTATGTGTTAGCCTCAGATGTCACCAACTTTCTTTCATCCTCATTTTCGGATATGCGTAGATACTATAAGCATAGCTTTGTGAAACCAAGCAATAAAGCCGAATACTGCATAGCCCAAATTTCTGCATGACCTTAACCACTAGTGAGTGTCGAAGTTGCCGAAGTATATGGCTTGGGTTTCACATATGATCTATCATGTAAATATTCGATGAATATGTACAAATATGTGTATTTAAGGGTATGAACCCTGGGAGCACATGTTTCCACAACCATTCTTGAAAATCCTTCATCATTGTTTAAGTTTTATGAGAAAATGAGCACAATTCTATTCATTAATCGTTAAACACTTGGAAGATAAAGTGATGTGTGAACGTCATCTTTCAGTAAAACTGTTTGTAGTCATCAATCAGATTTTTTTAAATATATAAATTAACAATTGAAGTCTTTAGATTATTAAAAATTGGCAGCAATTCATTAAAAGAGTTAAAAGTCAGTTAAACACAAAATAATATTAAGTAGTTAAGGAATCCTGGCCTGAAACTGGGCGCCATTGTTAGTGAAGTATTATTATTGTTAATATATTATGGTGTACTGCTGTGACCTTGTAATCTTATTTTGTTTACAATAAAAAAAAAGTGTTACTGTTCAACAGTACAAAATTTTGTACCTATTAAGCAGGATAGCCCTAGTAAATTCTTACTTCATCAGATAAATGCTGTTTCCTATTCAGATTTTTGTGAATAACAATATATAACATTTACATGTGTCGTGCTCCCTAATCAATGTACTGTAATTGTGATGGAACAAGCGATTCATAACCAGCAGGGAAGGACGTTTATGTGCAATGATACAATGCGTTAATATTGCTGAGTTGCTTGTTACCTTACAACCCCAGAAACACAGATAAGCCAGTGAAGGCGACATAATATGTCTACTTCAAGTAGAGGATGGAAATATATTATCTTCTCTATCAGTAGAAGACTGAGTGTTGCGTAATTATTTTGTATAGTTATGACCAATAGAGAATTTAAGTGCAGGAGTGACTGATTTAGAAATAAGATTACGTCTCCACATATCATATTCTATTTCATTGCTGTAATTGAGACTAGTGATGAATTTATAGATAATATTGAATAAATAGGGGAGCACTAAATCTGTAGGGATCAAACAGCGCCTGGGGGAATGGTAGGCAATCAGGTTTGATCCAAGAGAGGAAAAGTCAGATTCTATTCCTTACATCAAGAGCCTCTCACTGGCATCAAGGAACCTCCCTTGAGGGGTTATATAGATCATAGATAATATAAAATGTTTAAGAATTTTTGTGCTTATCATTTTATTTTAACTTTCGTGTAAAGTCTCTCTTGTTAGTTTGAATATTTATTATTATAAGAGTCTCAAAATCTTTGTCTGTTATTTCACTTGATCGTGGTAAAGAAATCTGAAAAATTTGTGTAATACATTCAACTGATTTTAAAGTCTTAATGTACTTCAGTCTAAAACGATTTTGCTTGAATTGGAAAGGTGATACCGACAAGTTGTAAGTAGTAGACACGTTGGCGCTGAGCAAGACGCGTTTCGGACACGTTTCGCCACAAGTGAATTCGTCAGTTGTAATGGACTGAAGAAACCATTCGTGCCGAAACGTTCCCTTAATAAACCTCTTGATCAGCACATACGTATCTTTTACATCAAACGATTTTTTTTATGTTTAAACATTTGCTCATTGTACAAAGGTTAGAATTTTGTGAAAACTCTTCAATGATTATCAAAAGCATTTCCCAAGGAGAGATCGTAAAATGCATTCTTCTGTCCCCGACAGTGACGCTGGGGATTGTGGTTTTAACATTATTTCGGGTATTCATCATGAAGAAAACGTATACTGTATTGCAATTTTGTATATATGTGAACTGTACCGATCACATATAGTCATTTTCATAAGTGTCACCAAAGTGTTTAAAACTGCTGAATGTGTAACATAAATGTATTGAAAAAAATTAGTTAAGGTCAAATATATATATTATGTCTTAAATTTTATATAATTTTCCATTTTAAACTTATGTAAATGTACTTTCTATGGGTTATTATAACTTAATAAGCCAGAGCAACTGGGTTTTTATTTCTTAATAAGCCAGAGCAATTGTTATAAATGAGTGTAGTGCAATAGATCAAATCTCTCTCTCTCTAATTACATCATTCATAGCGACTGGAATGATCGAAAATGAGATGTCATAATGTGATTGATTAAACAGAAGACTGTTGACTAATTGGTTTAACAGCCTTCATGATGTACAATAACCAAAATTTGAGAGCCATACCCACATATGCTGCCATCCATCTTCGGCTGAGCTACTGGTTAATAAATCTGAAGACAGAAGTACAATATGGCGGAGAGATCACACACATAACATCTGTCAGATCTCGGAAAACAATCTAGTGATCAAGACTTCTAGCCTGGTCATGGACGGTGGCGCGAGGAAGTTGATATCCCCGACCAGACCCTTGCCTTCGTCTCGTATCACTGGTTATCTGAATCAGTGTCGTGGAATCATTTCCCATGGGTTGCTGGAGCTTATGAGGGATGAGGATATTCGATTTTTGAATCATGGAGCAGATGTTGCGCAGAGGAATAAGAGGAAAGTGAGTTGTACTGCTGAACACAAATTCACTGGTTTTCGCATTAGACTAACTAGACCTTCTTCTTTATTTGGATGTTATGCCGTATATTTCCTTCTCTGTACAAAGCTTCAAGTGACAGAAATTTAGTCACCAGTGGACCAAGTGTAAAGCAATGCAAAGCACTTATGTTGTATGTGACACCGACTTCTACATAGCCAACTTTTGTACTGGTGTGTTGCAGCGTCACGACTGTTGGGTATCCCACAAAGTCAACGACAGTACTTGCGTGGGGAAAAAAAGATGGATATTGTTATGCTATAGTGTGTATACATAAAGAGTTTTGCCAAGGCCGGTAGGAGGGCGTATCACCTGCATCCTGATCTGTCCTATGTGGCTTTTGCATCTAACTGCAAGATCCCAGCTACTATGGGGTCTTCCTTGGTGAGGCAGGACAATTCCTCTTAAGGGCTCGTCCTGCCCTGCCTTGCTTGGAACTCCACCTATAAAGACAACCACCAGCCCTGCGTGCCTAACTCTGTTGCCGTCTGGTGTCCTGAGGGTTAGCGAGGGTTATCTTGTGTGTGTGCGGTCCACTATTTCCGAATCACTTAAATTTTTCCTGGGTTTCATAATTGCTTTCAATGCTACTACAATTCCCTTAGCGCAGTTGTCAAGTAGTGTCTCTCTCTCTCTCTCTTTTGGTTCCTGCTATTCGTAACAGTCAGGATGGTGTGTGCTCCTGGACTGTGTGCTCCTTGTACCTCCCTCCAGATTGGGTTTTAGACAGGCCCCTTTGCTCATGTTGACCTAATTTGTGAGTTACCCTGCCCATTTCTCCTGGGTGACTTTATTTCCTAACACCTAGTGTGGGATGTATATGTGTTGCTCTGTGCCAGACAGGTGGGGGTGCCCTTTTGGAGACCTTGGTGACTTCCTTGGGTATTAGCATCCTTAACTGGATCCTTGACCCATCATAAGGTTCATACTGACGCCTTGTAAGGCACAGTTATATCTGTTCTTGCTCTGCGCATCTGGGTTACAGATTGTTTTCTCTCGATTATTTATAGCAGTGATTATTTCCTTCACCTGCTGGAGCTGGCAGGATCATCCATTCCAGTTTTTTATGCAACTTTGGTTATGTTTCGTTTCTAGTAAGAACAAAGAATTTTTTTATGGGTTCCTGGACACGCTGATGTTAAGGGCAATGCACAAACAGATTCAGCCGTTCGATCAGCCATTCACGACTTTCCAGTTTCCCACAGGTGTGTTTCTTTCTCTAGCTGTTTTTCAATACTCTCTCAACAATTATGAAACAGCTGGCAACAACGTTTTTGCTATCTAGAACCCAACTATTTTTTTTATGAAACAACAATTGGGTTTATGGCCATCGTCTTCCATCAGTCATATTTTACACTCGAGATTATGAATCACACACATGGATGACACATGGAGAAACGCAATGCAAACTTTCTGCAAGGACTGCCAGGTTGTACAGTCAGTTCGCCAATTTATAAAACAAAGACTCTCCTATCTGTGAGAGAACACCTACAATTTACCTTCGACATATATCATGCACTAGCACATACTAACTGACCTCCTCGCTGAGAATCTCACATTTAACGTAGATTCGTGCAACGCTGTATGATCCTTGTAGGTTTAGCGCTTCTTTTTTGTAATAATAATAACGTAGATTCGCTCGTTGACGTTCTAACAGAAGCTGACCAAATGCACCGCCTGTGACTTCAGTTTTACAACCCCAGCTTCACACGCCTCTACTCTTGCATACCTATACTCACAGCACTAACCCATACGGGTTAAGCGCATAAAAAAATATAATAATAATAGTATTAGTTTGCCATCTGGGTTGGCAGATGAAAGCAGGAGACTGACGACTCTTAACGACAGTTAGCATGCCTCAGTTAGATGACTTGAAGTCCCGTCTGTCAGTCCCTTAGAAGAACAAAGACTGAAAAGCACCACCACCTTAACCTAACCAACCAATACAGCGCCTGACCTTAACCTAACCAACCAATACAGCGCCTGACCTTAACCTAACCAACCAATACAGCGCCTGACCTTCCTAACCCACAGCGCCTGACCTCAAACACTTGGCAGTGTCGACGTGATCTTGGCTGTGCGTGGGTGTGCACAGTGACTGCTCACCTACACAAGGTTCTAGGTTCTCTGGTAGCATAAATTACCGCCCATAAACTAACTTAGTGGTTATATCGTGGCTCTTTAACGTTTAGGGAAAAAAGTTACTGTGGAGTTTCTTCGACAGCACAATTTAAGGTATGTTTATTTTCGTTCTAAAACTATTTTACGAGTTGGAAGAACACGGGTAACAAGGTAACAACTGCCTTGTTTGCTGAGTGTTAAGCCGTGATGTGATATGATGCAGCTATTATGTGAAAATGTATATTAGATTTTCAGATATATTTGTCAAAGTATTGTACTTAGTAGTTTTCTATTCGTGGAATCTAAACTTATAGTTTAGTTTTTCAAGGTTCGATGGGTATATTGTACTTGATTCTGTAGGATTGGTTATGTGCTCGAGGTTCAGTAATTAAACCTATATTTGCACACCCCAAGTCGTATAGAATTTATTATAATTTTTATTGACGTTTAATTGCCCACAAGGAAGGTTCTTGATGCTGGTTAGGGCTCTTGACTTGAAGGAGATATGTAGGTCATACTGTCTTACACATCCCCCTTGAAGCCGATAATTCTGGTTATAATATTATTACGTTTTATTGACAAGCGAGACGAGGTCTGTCTTACGTCTCTCACTTGCAAGCCGAGATCGTAGGTATACTGCCACGCCCACGGTGATACCCATACCAGCCGTGTTATATTGAAAATTGTTAGGTTAGGTTAGGTAAGGTTCGTCAGGAAACAGGACAAATGTTTCCTGACGCGGGTCTTAGTCAGATGATGACCCGCCTTTGGAGCTTTTGGTCATCTGACCGAGGCCTTCCGCTGGCTTACCGGTCCACCCCTTTAAAAATTATGGTCATTTATAACCAGTCTGTCTATATACCTTAATAATTTTGAAAATTTATAAAATGCCGACACATTTGTAACAGTTGGGTATATTGTTGAAATGTTTCGCCTACACAGTAGGCTTCTTCAGTCAAATAGAGGCAGCAGGTGTCTAGTGTTTGAAGAAGCAGTGTAGGCGAAACGTTTTAACAATAAACATACCCAACTGGTGCAAGTCATCACCCACATCAGTCTACTAACGCCCAAGTACCCAATTGCTGCTAGGTGAACGGGGACAGTATGTGTAGGGATATTTGTCCATATTCTCCCCCAGGCCGGGAATCGAACCCTGGATTGTCAGTTGCGAGCCGAGATGTTTTATTAAAAGTTACAAACTTTTACTTTACATTCAGTATACGCTTGTCTATAATTTCCTTTATTTCTTAATAGTTCTATGCCCTCTGAATACCTCTCAGCTGGTGAGGAGCTCTTGATTCAAGGATTTGGATTTATCCTCCCCTTGCATCGGACCAGATTCTCGTTTCCAATTCGATTTGGCACCTACGGGTTTAGCACTCCCCCTAATTATAATACTAATTTAATAATAACAGTCTTTCAATATTTACTTTGCTGTCTCTCAGTACCTGGAGGATACCTCGAGAGGGTTTCGGGGGTCAACCCCCCCCCCCCGCGGCCCGGTCTGTGACCAGGCCTCATGGTGGATCAGGGCCTGATCAACCAGGATGTTACTGATGGCCACACGTAAACCGATGTACGAACCACAGCCCGGCTGGTTAGGCACTGACTTTACGTGCATGTTCAAAGCCTTCTTGAAGACAGCCAGGGGTCTATGGGTAATCCCCCACAATACTTCCTTTGAAATTTAGAGCTGGTCTGAGACCGAGCCACGGGGGGATGCGATGGTGGCGTGAGACCGAGCCACCGGGGAGGGGGGGATGGTGGCGCGAGACCGAGACACCGGGGAGGGGGGGATGGTGGCGCGAGACTGAGCTACGGGGCACAATGGTCTACCTGGAAGGCATTCCAGGGAGCAACGCCCCCGCGGCCCGGTCCACGGCCAGGCCTCTCGGTGGATCAGGGCCTGATCAACGAGGCTGTTACTGCTGACCGCACGCAGTCCAACGTACGAACCACAGCCCGGCTGATCGGCACTGACTTTAGGTATCTGTCCAGCTCCCTCTTGAAGACAACCAGGGGTCTGTTGATAATTCCCTTATGGCTGGTGGGAGGCTGTTGAACAGTCTTGGGCCCCGGACACTTATTGTGTTTGCTCTTAGTATACCAAGGGTTCCTCTGCTTTTCATTGGGGATAAGTTGCATCGCCTGCCAAGTCTTTTGCAACCGTAGGGAGTGATTTCTATGTACAGATTAGGGACCAGTCTCTCCAGCATCTTCCAGGTGTAGATTGTGATATCGAACCGAATCAAACGAAGACGACCAGAGCTGCCGTAAAATGGGAAGGAAGAAGGATGGGGGTGGAAATACTGGAAAAGGATGGGAGGGAGGAGGGGAAGAAAGACAAGTGGCACAACCACTTTGGTGCGTGTGGTACAGATGTACTGTAAGGTTGGCTGGAGAGGGATGAAGGGCGTCGGTACTTGGCTCCCAAGGAGAGGATGGTGAAGGCGGCGGCAGAAGAGTCAGGGAAGTTCCAGAAGGCAGCCATCAGGACGATCTGTACAATGAATGGCTGGCGGGTGGCTTCTTAAATTATCGTCCCCGATTGGAGAGAGTTGAGCTTCGATCTTGAGAGACGGTGTAGTTTAAGCAAGAAGTTGGGGGTTTGTCTTAGGATCCTTAAGGATATCGATTAGTTCATCAACGGTGGTAGCGTATGTGGCAGTACAGGTGAACTTAGCAGTCCCGTCCTCGAGAGAGCTGACGAGTTCCCGGGCAATCAGTTCGTTTGGAGAATGTCGAGTGGTGTAGAAAGCGAGTCCAGTTATACAGTGGCATGGAGGTTGAGCATCATGGGTAGAGGCAAGCGGAATCGCTTGTTGGACAGTTGCAGTGGTGGAGGCGGAAGGCGAGACCGCTGAGTGGACGACGTTAGGGGAGGTAGGAGCTGCTGGTGGCAATTAGGGTGGTGATTGGTTGGTTCCTGAGATGAGTGGAGGCAACGAAGGCCCCTCATTGGTTGGAGTTGGAGTGACGTCACTTGAAATTGGAGGAGGAGCTGCATGCTGCTTGGAAGTGGCTTGCTGGTGTCGAAACTACGACAGGATGCGAGTTGGTGTTCAGAATGACAGAAGATGGTGGAGAAGCTGGGAAGTTGTTTAACTTGAGTTCATTAATGGCTGTGTTGAAAGTTCCAGGAACAGCAGCGTTGTGCATGTGTGCATAGACCATGTAGTAGTATTACTGTAGTCGGGTCAGTCAGGTGAGATGGTGGTGGAGGGTTGAGTAGAAGCCTGGAGGATTTTCGTTGTCAGCCTGCAATTTTGCAATTGCAGCGTAGGTGGGTGATCTGGAAGAGGACTTTTTCTGCGCCGATTCTTGAGTTTTTTTGTTTTGTTTTCATAATGTCTTTACGTGTGGGACATTTAGCAGCTAGAGTGTGATGGTCATTGCTTTTGCAGTTCAGGCAAGTTGGTGTCGACGGAGCAGAGGCAGTGCAGGACTTGAAATCGTAGCCCTCGCAGCCACATGTGCAGAACTTCTTTTCATCACAGGACAGACCTTGGTGTTGTGAACATATGAGTAACAATTCCAGTAGTGATGAATGTAGTGGTACCTCAGCTTCGACGTAGGTGGAGCTGATGAAGTAGTAATAGACGGCAAGACCATCTGTCAAAGCGGTGGCTGCCATGTTCACATAGGTGAAGGTGACTTTGAGCATGAACGAAGCTGTGGAGATTTTTCGTGATGCTCTCAACAGTGGCCCACGAGTTTTGATCCTCAATAGATGTCTCGAGTTCAGCGACTGGATGTGAAGTGAGAAGCTTATCTAGTTTCTCGAGGAATACTGATCTCCTTGCCCTGAGAGCTGGAGAGTAGTAACTAACTTCTCAGCTTCCACATCGTCGTTACACACGACAATGAAGGCCTCCTTGAGTGTCAATATGGTGTTGAACTTCACCTGCAGCCCACCCCGAACGGCGGCTGCAAGAGCAAGTTTCGAAGAATCATTCAAAGTACCGCTGTTGGGTTAGATTTTGACACGATTTGCATAGCTCATCGTGGTGCCCAATCAAGGATGAAGACGAATGTATAGGTTCCCGTCCCCAACGGGGATCGTACGGAGACTGTACAAGAAGAGCCAGAGCTGCTATGACTTGCCAGAGCAAGAGTCAAGAGCCGAATCTGTGCATTTGAATTACTCAAATTCAAATTCAAACTATTCTCCATAAGTATTACAATGCTGAGTTTACAGAATTTGGTTATTGTGTGGTTTACATGTAGTAAAATAATAATTACAGAGTGTACCACTAGAACGCCTAGCATGGCTAGGCATTTCGGGCAGACTTATATTAAATCTTAGGTTTAAAATGTTACAAAATTATGAGATAAGTTGGTATTATGGCTAAGTGACTAAATACTAGTTGTGAGTTTAGCAATGTGAATGCTTTTGTTTTGGCACTATACGTAGTTTCAGTATTGGAGTATCACAGGCCAACTTATGACTAGTTAAGATTCATTATTTTGAGATTGAGATTGATATTTCTGTTTATGGTCAAATGGGTGAGTGAGTGTAAGTGTGAACCACCAGGTGGTATTCATATTATTAGTTGACAGGGTGTATCAGGGAGATAAAATGTTTTCTGATGGTAGTTTTGAAGGTGATGAATGTGTCTGCAGTTTTGGAATTTTCAGGTAGGGTGTTCCAGATTTTAGGGCCTTTGACATACATTGAATTTTTGTAAAGGTTTAGTCGGACACGGGGAATGTCATAGAGATGTTTGTGTCTGGTGTTGTGCCTGTGGGTTCTGTCACAACTATAAAGAAAGCGTTTTAGGTCAAGGTTAATATTGGAATTTAAGGTCCTGTAGATGTAGATTGCACAGTAGTAAGTGTGGATGTACTGAACAGGGAGTAAGTTTAGATCTATGAAGAGTGGGGGGGGGGTGTTGCCAGGGATGGGATTTAGTGATTATTCTTACTGCGGCTTTTTGTTGGGTTATTATTGGCTTTAGGTGTGTTGCTGCAGTTGAACCCCAAGCACAGATAGCATAGGTGAGGTATGGATATATAAGTGAATGGTATAGTGTGAGAAGGGCAGTTTGCGGCACGTAGTATCGTATCTTGGAGAGGATCCCAACCGTTTTGGATACTTTTTTGGTTATGTGTTGGATATGGGTGCTGAAGTTAAGGTTGTTGTCGAGGTATAGGCCTAGGAATTTGCCCTCATTATGTCTGGTAATTAGAGTGTTGTCGATCTTAATGTCAATTTGCGCATCTCCTGCTCTGCTACCAAACATAATGTAGTAGGTTTTGTCAACGTTAAGCGTAAGTTTATTGGCTGTCATCCAAGTCGATATTTTGATCAGCTCCTCATTAACAATGGTGTTGAGGGTTGCAAGATTAGGGTGAGAGATGACATAAGTCGTGTCGTCAGCAAAGAGAATGGGGTTCAGGTGTCGTGATACGTTTGGAAGATCATTGATGTATATGAGGAAGAGCAGGGGACCAAGGACACTTCCCTGCGGAACTCCAGTATCAAGTGGCTGTGTTGTTGATGCTGTGTCTTTAATGGTGACATACTGATACCTATTAGTAAGGTAAGATTTGAAATATGCAAGCGCATGGCCTCTTATACCGTAATGGTCAAGTTTGTGGAGTAGGATGTCATGGTCTACTGTGTCAAAAGCTTTTCTTAGGTCAATAAAAATTCCTAGTGGATATTCCTTATTTTCCAATGCTGTGTAAAGCAGATCTAGCATTTTTATAATTGCATCGTTAGTGCTTTTATTTTTCCTGAATCCAAATTGGCAGGGGTTGAGTATGTTTTGTGACGTTATAAATGAATATAGTCTCCTGTGCACGAGTTTCTCAAAGATTTTGGATAGCAATGGTAAGTTTGATATTGGCCTATAGTTGTTTAAATCTGTAGGGTCACCACCTTTATGTATTGGTGTAACTCTCGCCTGCGCTCCAGTGAGTACAAGTCAAGTGCTTCCAGGCGTTCCCAGTAGTTATACGATCAGTAAAGGTTCTCTGTACATTCTCCAGATCTGCAGTTTCACCTGCCTTGAATGGGGATGTTAATGTACAGCAGTATTCCAGCCTAGTGGCGCGAGACCGAGCCACGGGGGGCGATGATCCCCAGAACTATTAACATAATAAGTTCATTGGGGAGTATACTTGAAGTTGAGGAAACTATACACTGACCGTACGATGCATCTATATGCATAATCCTCGTTCAACAGTAGGGAAACACCACTATTTATCCTAATTAGGGGGAAGCACTGAACCCATAAGGGTCATAGTGCGCCTAGGAAGTAGACATTCAGTGCCGATCTATGGTCAGAAAGAAAATGTTTAGCTCTGAGGTCAAGAGCCCTTACTGGTATCAAGATCCCCCTCCCTCGAGGAATGGGGGGAGGGGGAATCATAAATATTTTCGATGGTGCTAGAAATACTCTGAACCACATGAAGAGGGTCTCTGGCTGTACCGGAAATATGTAATTTTCGTAATCTGGCTCCTGCGCACACCTCTCGCCTGTCGTCACCTTATCTCAGGAGTTCCTGACCCTCTTTCTGCAGCTTGTGACGTGCTGCTGACTGCGGAGCATTATTTTAAGTTTGCTCTCTGCTCAGGTCTTTTCACTTTCGTTGGTTTTATAATTACAGAGGTGCCTGTACGGACCTCTGGGAACTTTTAGAAGAGGCTTTTGACACAATGATATTCGTGTTGAGTACTTGCTGCCTTTATTAATAGTTAATTTTATCCTTGTGTGTGAGTGATCTATGCTGTCAAAGTACCGTACTCTTAATATGGTTATACTGTTATAGATTTTTTTTTTTTTTTGCAATAGCAGAATACTCGGGTTTAATCGCGAGATATTGTAAAGAGTTACTGTACAAGCCAGGATAGATAAGTGAGAAAAGAGGTGATAAAGATCACATAGCCATTTTCATGACTTTATCGTGCATATTTTAATTCCTTAGCGTAACAAATTTCGGTCTGAAAAATATTTAAGCTAAAGTGTTTTCGATTTACGTTGTGTTCGAACAGACTGCGACTCGTTATAATACTCAGGCACGACCGCTGCCAAACACTAATCACTGTTAAATAAATTTTATATAATTTATTATTGTTAATAAGTAAATCAAGCAACAGTTACAGTAACAACAGTAGTAGTAAGGGTCGTGTAGTAACTTGTTAATTTTACGATTGTGCATAGTTCTGTATAATAAGTCTTATGTCATCAGAGCTTATTCTTATGTTATCAGAGCTTATGTCTTGGGTAGCATTGAGGATTGGGTTGGGAAAATGTTTCGTTAGTGGGATGAATTGCAAAGGACCTGCCGAGCATGGGCCAACAGGCCTGCTGCAGTGATCCTCCTTTCTTATGTTCTTAAATGTTTTGTTAGAGGGATGGATTGTAAAGGACCTGCCTAGTATGGGCCAACAGGCCTGCTACAGTGATCCTCCTTTCTTATGTTCTTACGTAAGACACTGGCAGTGGCCTTGAACTGGTATAGTCCAAGTATTATTCCCAGTAGTGGCTGCTGATTGCCGTTCAGTTGAAGCAACTTTGTGTTAAACATGTAACAAGAACAGACTATTATTGACGGAAAGTCTAGTGGAACAGTTTTTGCTGATTCATATCGACTGAAAGCTGCATTTTGCACTACTAAAAATTTTCCCTGACTAGGCTAATTTTTCAATTTTGAAGGCTGAATACAATATTTTGGAGGTCAGCTTTCGGATTTTACAGGTTACTTGTACTTTGGAGATGCTTGTAGGTTCCTGGAAGATGGGTGTACACTTGTTGATGCTAGGAGTCGCTTATTTCTTAGCTGCCCTCAGACTTGTGTAGGTATGTTGCTGGAACGTATCCCTGATTGCCATGAGCATCCTCCACGTACCACCAGTCTGGGCTCTCTCTACAAATGGCTTGAACCAGCTGGCCCCGATGTAGATCCAACTGTTTTTCATCGCTACCCTCGAAGTTATAAAGAACCACGTATTCCTAAAAAATATATAACTCTAAGCACATACGTACTTGTGTACTATAATATTTGATTAATTATTTACGACCATTTAATAAATATAATCACGTGAAGCATTTTGAACTGATTTAATGAACATTCCCTGAAATTTTAACAGCCCTCCCATTTCTTGGACCTAACCTAATTACCTCCCATTCCCCAGGAACTGTATGATCCCCTACGGGTTCAGCGCTTCCCTGTGATAATGTGTTGGCATTTATTTCTGAATATAATAAAATTAATATGTAATTTACCTGGTCGTTATAGGCAGAGTACTCTCCAATTTGCTGTTCATCACAAATATTATTGCCCGTTGTTTTATCGGTATCGTCGTCGTCTCCGATATCAGAGTTGTCAGAGGATGTTGCTCTTCTGGCTATGGAGAGACTCCGTGACCCTGGCGAGCGTGGGGTGTGAGGATAATGATGGGAGGGGTTGGTTGTGGTCTGAGAAAATTGAGGGTGACTGGCTGGAGAGTGAGAGAAAAGTTCTTGGGACTGAGAACCAGAAACAGGGCTGAGGACTTGGGACTGAGAACCAGAAACAGGGCTGAGGACTTGGGACTTAGAACCAGAAACACGGGTTGAGGACTTGGGACTTAGAAACCAGAAACAGGGCTGAGGACTTGGGACTTAGAACCAGAAACAGGGTTGAGGACTTGGGACTTAGAACCAGAAACAGGGTTGAGGACTTGGGACTTAGAACCAGAAACAGGGTTGAGGACTTGGGACTTAGAACCAGAAACAGGGCTGAGGACTTGGGACTGAGAACCAGAAACAGGGCTGAGGACTTGGGACTTAGAACCAGAAACAGGGTTGAGGACTTGGGACTGAGAACCAGAAACAGGGCTGAGGACTTGCAACTGAGAGCCAGAAACAGGACTTCGGATAGAGGGAGAATTTTTGAACTGGGACTCAGGGTGTAGTCCCTGTCTTCCCTGGAGATGTTGAGATTTCCTTGAGGCTGCGGTGGGCAGAATATTGAGGGGCGCTGCGGTGTTCGTTTCATTCCACTCGTTGGGAGTTTCCAAGGGTCTTAAACAGGATGGTCTGACTAAGCCCACGTTCTCTAGAGATGAAAAATGCAACAGTGCATCAACAAACAAATTCGAACTACATGGTCTTAACTATCATAGATCAGAATAGATGGTTAGAAAAGAAGAGGTTAATTGTATCAAGAGATGTCGGGCCACAGCCCGTTGCCCAGGACAAAAAGAACTCAAACTATGTATATTAGATTACTAAATTTAAGAACCCCGTGAAAAGCTGATAAAAGTTTGGCTGAAAAGAATATTACTGATAACACGGCAGTTTTTGAAGGTTCAGAAGCTCTTATTCCATTGAATTGGAGCTACCCTCTCCTACCATCTTTCTTGCCATTTCGTAGGCGCTATGTATACTGTGCTGATAATGCAGTCTCTAGTACATTCCTGTGACCCACCTCCATCGTCGATCACCCAGCGGGTAGTACCGCCACTGGGGTCAGCTTTCTTTAGGAGAGCCACTACCTGGAGTGGCTGGAGGGTAATTTCGTTGTCCTGGGTAGCGGTGTGGGCCTCCTTCACCAAGTATAAGCTGTCCACTGGATAGCTGTTGATTATATCTCTTGCATTCTGACGGGAAGTTGAAAAACTGTATTTGTTTAAAATCCATTTTATGCTATTCGCATCCATTTCACTGTGTTTAGCAAAATGAATAAGAAAATGCAGTTTTATTTGCCTAAAAACATGTTTTTTTGTCTATCGGATATCATTGTGAAATCCTGTAAAGTTCATCAATTTTTTAGTTAAAAATATAAAATAATGGAAAAAAAATCCAAGTGGAAATAATGAGTGATAATAACTTATTACAAAATATTTACAAAACTGACGGAGCACCACATGTTCACCTTGAACTCTGAAGTGCCTTTGACAGGTGTATACCAGGTGGTGTGTTGTGGGCCTCGTAGGCCTATGGTGACGTTTCTCAGGTAATCCACAGGTAGACTACTTCTCTTATTTCCCTTGTCAGTCTGTGACACACACACCACAAGGACATTAGACTCTTCAAAAAAAAAAAAAAGAAAAAAAATGCAAATAACCCCATGTATATGGTCTCGAAATGAACGGTAAATATTTCTCCGCTAAACTGTTGGAAATGGTGGATACGGTGCAAATATCATGCCACCCATGATCAAATGCAAACTAGAGTTTGTTTACAGTAGTCTGGCTAAACAACCAACCCTCTTACCTCCCTGTGAAGGGTGTTGGCAGGGTAACTCTTACGTCCTCTGGATGGTACGAATTGGTAACTAGAGGAGGTGCTGGAGCACTCGTCCTCGCCTGCAGCAGCTCCTTGCCCCGGACATCCAGAAGAGACAACCGCGCCTTCTGCAAGCAAGCAAGCAAGTAGAGAAATTAGTTACATTTATAACCAAATTAAGGAGAAAGGAAAACAGTGCCTTGGTGCTGAAGGGCTCTTGGTCCAAGAAATTGAACCCCTCCCCTTCCTTATATCCAAAGAGATCGCCTACCACTCTCATGGCACTGTATGACTTATTGGTTTTGAAACTGCCCAACAAATATAATACATTTTTAGACTCTCATCTAATTAATGTTTCATTCTTAAACAGTTTTTGGATGATTTTGTGGTCTTTATTTTCTGAACCTCATAGGCCTTGACATGTGGGAAATGTCGAATGAGCACTTAACTTACAACATAGAAACTGAACTGCCACTCTGGTGACAACTCTGAGAACTTTGTTTAGTGTTTTTATTAGGTCAGTCTCAACAAGAGATTTTTACAGAACTGGTACGAATCCCTCAGGGTTTAGTTTTGAAAATCTGATGTTTGGGAAAGAGTTTCTTAAAGTGGATCTCATAGGACACAATATTCTGAAAGTCTAATTGTTTATAAGAGTTCTTTCAACATCAGTGATCTTTCAGAGTTTTCAAATAAAAATATCAAATTTGAGAGCAAAATTGAATTTTATGGAACAAAATGTCTGGTAAATATCTTAACAACATATACTGTCTTTATTCTTTACGTTGAATTTGGCAAGTGACAGATTTGTTGAGGTGGTGTAGGATTTTAAACTAGCAGGGCAACCTATTTAAGGGATTGATTTAGAAAAATTTCGATTACACGTTAGTGGAATCGATATGATATGTTGTACTCAGGGCTCGCTATAAGTTATGTTTTCAATATGTATATTAAGAGGCGTTTAAATATACGATTTCAATTTCTTTTCGCTTTTTGGTGAATAGATTCGCTGTAGACACATTTCTCTCCTTTCACAAATTTCAGATCATGTTATCCTATTATCAATTTATCACCCTATATTTAAGAAATATTTAAAAATTAATTCTTCTTTCCCTATCTGAGATGGGATAAGTTTCTAAGATCACTTGAATTTTGAAAATGATTTCTACAGGTGGACATCAACAGAGATTTTGATGAGCGCGCGTTATGTACCATTCATAGACAACCTTTGTTTGATGCTTTCAACATCTGGTTAAAATTCTTGTTAATATTACTGGTACAAGTAAATTTGTTGAGATAACCTACAGCTTTCACTTTAGTGACGTCGAGTGTCTTGCCTGTGCGATGTTCTTTAGTGTGTTTCTTCTGGTAGTCGTGAGGCAGCAGCAGCCGCAGCTGTTCCACCTGTTGCTTGGCTCTCTCCTGTGCCTCCTTGAGGCTGATGTACCCCAACAGTGGGTCCTGAGGATATGTAAAAAGAGTGACGTCCAGTGGAAACAGCTGTTGCTGGTGTGATTATCAGTAAGACAGAACTTTTGTCACGGTTAGATTTTAAGGTATAAATTTAGTAGCTTTAACTCAGCAGTGTGACTTGTCTCTGTGATCTTTACCTATTGATATCGGAACCCTCATATATAAATTTTCTAAGATACGAGTTGGAAATTAAAAAAAACAAAGCCATGGAACACAAACTCTACCTGGGCTGCATCTGAGACTATTTTGAATTAAGCTATTTTTTAAGGGATACTTTGATGTTGGTAAATTGCTGAAAAAATAAACTGAAGCCTTCCTCTCTTTTTATGTTCGAATTTGATTACCTCTCATTCATCAGTCGACTTTGAACCCTACGAGTTTAGCGTTTTTCCATGAACATAAGTGAAAAAGGTCTCGCTGTTAAAAAGAAATATGGTAAGCTAGCGCATAAAGCTGAGAAACTCCCGAGTGCAATTTGAAGATTTGCAACACCTCTGACTTAAAATAACAGACAACTTAAGGACTGCTAGCAGAGCTAACCTCAGGCCCACCTGTGCCAGCGTGAGGTAGAGCTTAGCAAGATGCCCCTGGAGGTAGAGGCGGGAGGCAGCGAGTGAGCGAGTAGCAAGCGTGAGGATCTTTGTGGCATGTTGGGTCAGGATAGGAAGCTCCTCCATCAGTAGCGTGTGAAGTGACTGGTACTCGCGTATTGCTTGCACATCCTCATCATCATTCTTAGGGGAGAAGTGTACTAATAAGAAACCATCACACCTTCATTTATACAAGCATTCCTATGTTACTGGCACAATGTATTTTATTCTACAGTTAATGCAGTGGAAATTTACCTTTATAAGACCAGCTAGAGGCAAGGTTGCATCACTCACAGAAAGTAGTAGTTTGTTAGACATTAATTAATCTTCTAATAAAGTAAATGTTTCGGTTGCTGTGTGATCCAAGAAATATATTCATCTATTAAATGTAATTTCACACAAGAGGTATAGTAACTGGTCACTAAAACCCTCACAAGGTCCTCAGCTTAACACTCTCCAGAGATCTTGGAGATGTAATTCAACCTTCCCAAGAAATCCAGGAACTGGAGATCAACACAGTAAGACACCAGAGAGATTAAGCTCAACATAAACACCTTTCTCCTTTAGCTTAACACTCTAAATGGGGTCCAGGAGCTGTGATCAGCACATTCAGGTAACAAGAGGTGTAGCGCCATCAAGGGGCACAGACACCCTCAGAAGACCCAATCACAGTGAAAATGTGAGCACAGTCAGACGAAACTCTGAAGGATTTGTCCACAATTTTAGACTTAAAATTTCCACAATGACAGTCTCCTAGGTAGTCTTTAATCAGGAAGACATTTTTGTGAAACTCGCAGCAATTATCTTTGCAAGATGTTAGAGCATATCGCTTTAAAAATTATTTTTAAAGCTTGAATAAGCTTTATTTTTTAAATTGTCGTAGTCTAACTAAATTAAAATCACTTAAACTACTAAAAAAATTGAAATAAAAGTAGTATAGCATTGTAGTGAAGTTGTACAGTATAGCATTCAGAAAGGTAAGGTAATATACCTGGAGAAGGTTTCGGGGGTCAACGCCCCCGCGGCCTGGTCTGTGACCAGGTCTCATGGTGGATCAAGGCTTGATCAATCAGACTGTTTCTGTTGGCCACACGTAAACCGACGTACGAACCACAGCCCAGCTGGTCGGGTACTGACTTTAGGTGCCTGTCCAGTGCCTTCTTGAAGACAGCCAGGGGTCTATTGGTAATCCCCCTTATGTATGCTGGGAGGCAGTTGAACAGTCTAGGGCCCCTGACACTTATTGTGTTGTCTCTTGTCGTGCTAGTGGCGCCCCTGCTTTTCATTGGGGGAAATGTTGCACCGTCTGCGGAGTATTTTGCTTTCATAGGGAGTGATTTTCGTGTGCAAATTTGGTACTAATCCCTCTAGGATTTTCCAAGTGTATATAATCCTCTGTCGTGTGGGTACATAATGGAGATATGGGCGTAAGGAATACACTCGTTGATCGGTTGGTAACACGTATCTTGGCAGAGTCGTGAGGGGAGAGAGCCCAGCCTACATGCTCGGTTGTATGCCTGAGGACGAAGTGAGAGCGGGGCCTGTGACCTAGCACTTACATGCGCGGCTGCGTGACGTCACATCTAGCCACTGAGCCTAGCTGAAGTGATCATATATATAATATAGGAGGTACTAGCTACAATATATTACACAGTTATAATACATAGGAATTCAGTAACACTGACACTGTATCTCTCCCGCCTGCGTTCCAGGGAGTACAGGTCTAGGAACTTCAAACGTTCTCAGTAATTTAGGTGTTTTTATCGCACTTATGTGTGCCCTGAAGGTTCTCTGTACATTTTCTAGGTCAGCAGTTTCACCTGCTTTGAAAGGTTCTGTTATTGTGCAGCAATATTCCATCTTAGATAGAACAAGAGACCCGAAAAGTGTCATCATGGGCTTGGCATCGCTAGTTTTGAAGGTTCTCATTATCCATCCTGTATTTTTCTAGCAGATGCGATTGATACAGTGTTGTGGTCTTTGAAAGTGAGATCCTCTGACATTATCACACCCAGGTCTTTTACACTAGTTTTTCGCTCTATTGTGTGGTTGGAATTTGTTTTATGCTCCAATACAGTTTTAATTTCATTACATTTTCCATATCCTAGTAATTGAAATTTCTCATCATTGAACTTCATATTGTTTTCTGCGGCCCATTTAAGATTTGGTTGATGTCCGCCTGGAGAATCGCAGTGTCTTCAATGGAGAACACTCTTGTGGAAAATTAAATTTACCTGGATGTAACTCACAAGGTGCATACCAGTAAATAGTAACAAAGATAATTATTCTTTATCAAGGTTACAGAGACAAGTAGGAATTTTAGGACACCTAGGTCGCAAAAAATGTCCTTCGATACCTACAACTGTCATATCCACAAGTCACTCTGGACCTATATTAATTTCAAATGAAATATACATCACCAGGAATTCTGGTAAAAACATTAATATAAATATGTGGACTGTATATTAAATTTAAAATGTGAATACATATACACTGAAGGAGAATTTATAATAAGACTCATCAATTTGTCTGGAGATTACTTGGTGTATCATACACAACCTCCTGCCTAAATATGAAGAAAATACTGGTCAGAATCTCAACATAAATAGACAACTTAGCTGGGGTTCTGAAGCTGTCCTGTCCATCTGCTTAATGCTCACATTATGCAGGACTGCAAATCCAACAATTTCAGCTCCTATTTGAGAGGTTTTAAGCCCAATATAACCCCTAGAGCGACGAAAATTTATGCACATTTCACTAACGTGCCTTTACCACATTCAAAACAATGGCGTCCCTCCCCCCCACCCAGCGATGCTCACCCATCGCTGGCTCTTTATTTATTTACAAATAAATTTTTATCAATTTACATATAAAATACTGTATTTCCGGAAAATATATACAGTATTTTCCACAACTGTCATGCAAATTCGGGTGTCATCTGCAAAGGAAGACATGTTGCTGTGGTTTACGTCCCTGTCTGTTAGATATGAGGATGAGGGACAGGATGGGAGCGAGTACTGTGCCTTGTGGAACAGAACTTTTCATGGTAGCTGCCTCAGACTTTACTCTGTTTGTTATTACTCTTTGTGTTCTGTTAGAAAATTATAGATCCATCTACCAACTTTTCCTATTATTCCTTTATCATGCATTTTGTACACTATTACACCATTGTCATATTTGTCAAAGGCTTTTGCAAAGTCTGTGTATACTACATCTTCGTTTTGTTTGTTTTCTAGAACATCCAGGACCTTGCCATAGTGGTCCAGTAGTTGGGACAGGCAGGAGCGACCTGCTCTAAACCCGTGCTGCCCTGGGTTGTGTAACTGATGGGAATCTAGATGAGTGGCAGTCTTGCTTCTTAGAACCTTCTCGAGGATTTTTATGATATGGGATGTTAGGCTGTCGGTGTGTAGGAGCCCGCGGCTATGTTGACACCGGCTGACCCGTGACATTTTTAAATATATTGGCCAATTAACACCTACAAAAACCCAATGTAATTTCTTACTCTTCTGTTAAGATACACTAATACCGAAGGTTTGAAGCAGACAGAGGAATATTTAAGTTTTAACTCTGCGGTATCCAATTTTACTGAACGGGTTGACTGGAGCTTAGACAACCCCATTCCAAGCCTTTCGACGATTACTATACATCCTGAAGCCGATTACGTGAGAAAATCTAAGTTATTACACGGAAAGAAATTTTTTTTTAACCTCCAGGCCCTGGGTCACCTTAAGGTAGTGGTTGTGTTTGAGCAGCATAGCCTGAGAACCCCAAAAACGCCCGCTTCCTCAGTTCTTTCGCCTACCTAATGGGGTTTTTCTCCAATTCGTTAACTTTTGCTTCGGGAATAATGAAAGTGTTCACTGTCTGTTCTCTCTGTTCTCCCAACACTTGCAATAATGAGGTGGTGCGAACCACCAAAGTGGCTCATATCAAAGTGAATCTTCTTGTGGACTTCCTAATGGTACATTAGGTGGTAGTATTATTAGAAGGGACCCTCGCTGCTCTCGTCCTAAGAGTGGCTTAGTTGGAACCCAGTGTCATGGTCAATTCCCAGCGAGCTCTTTTGGACCTGTCTCAGTGTGCTTCGGTCCACTCTGTGGTCCAAAACATCCAGAAGACGTTAGCTTGTATTAATACGAATCACAAGCATGTAGAACAGGCTGATGCCGAGCCTTATAGCAACTTCATGGGCCACCTACGTTAAGTTGGGCTTCATGAAAATGTACGGATCCTGAATTTTAATAAGTCTAATTAAAGGATCCTTCAACAGTGTGAAAATGCCCTGTAATATTAATTATGCTAAAGAAATTCAAACTCTTGGTTTAGGTTTCCACAGGATGTCTGCTTTGTCCACTGTAAGGAATATGAGAAAATTTGCATTCAGCCAACAGAAAAGATTCTTGTAGGTAGCCTTAAACAATACAAATCTTTATGTACCTCAAAAATTTGATGCCATATGTTTTTCACCTCCAATTACTGGGCATTGATTTTGACAGTATATATTTAGCGATTTCGAGGCGATAGTGTTGCTTGTCTCTGTGACCTTGAATCAGAAAGTGTGTGAATTATATTTAAATAATACAACTTGCAAATCTGAAGGAAATTGTTAGTAAGCGGATCTCTAGTGAGGCAACAAGACTTTCACCTCTGCATTAGCGATGTTGGTATCACTGGTCAGCTGCACTCTGGCCTGGGCAGCGTCATAGTCAAGTTTCTTGTGATGACGCTTATGAATGAGTCTAGCTGGCGCTCCACACAGCGTCACCACCTGCGTCGCCGGCTGTAACACCCGCTCCTGTATCTCGTAATCCTGACGCAAACCAAAAAATCGTCACAATATATCAATTTTTTTTGGTAAATTGTTCATTACTGTAATTTCCTAGGCTTACAAAATGTTTGTACACAGTCCCTGGACCCATCAATATGCTTTTGTGTTTTTGGCTTCCGTCAACAACTTGGGTTTAAGATGCAAAGTAATAATTTTCAGGATAATTCTATAGTTTCTTCTTACTCAAAAGATTATATGACAGTAGATGATGAAAAATTTATTAGTTCTTAATGAAGGCTATTACCGTCCAGTGATCTGAAAAACTCTTGATCCAATTATTCGTACAATAAAAATTACATTTCTATAATTTAAAACATATCGAGAAGCTGTTGCAAAAGTAATTCAGTTGTATGAATAGTTTATAAAAGTAATTCGTAACCTACAAACATTCTGAGGGCCCTATTGCAAGAGTCGAGTGTTGCTTCCTGGATGGCTTGGACATGACGAACATTGGGCAAGAGATCAACCAGACCCTCGGATAGCAGCATCTCTTCCGTGTGTCTGGCTCTCACAGCCTCCAGGAGGGAAGTAACCTCAGTCACAATAACTTCTGCCGCCCGCTCAATACTGCGGAAATGAACCACTATCTCGTCGAATTCTGTGCTGGAAGTCTGTGAAATATGAATTATTTTTAGTATAAGAAAGTGCTGAATGTATGTGATTTATCTAGCACTATTTTTTCCTTCTTCCTCCAAGGTTTCAGCGAAGTAACTTGAAAATGGCTCTTATTATGGACTTAAAACTTGAACGGCTGAGCATCTTAGAGGAAGATTCGAGCCTTCCATTGGACTGTGTGGATGCCAGTTGTTACTGTGGAATAACTTGAATGCCGCATCTAATCAACTACAAAGTTCAATGTTATATCTCACAGGAATGTTTGAACTTTTATTACAATGTCGGGGCTAATTTATCAGTTTCATTCAAAAGTTTAAGTGGTGTTATTTTTCCGTGCGATAACTTGCAACACTAATGCATTTACCTTAAAGAAGGATTCATTGCAGTTACACGCTGTGGGGGTGAAAATTTACTAATTTTATGACTATAAAAAGTAAGGATTAGTATATTTTTGTGCACTGACTGAGAAAATTACTTAGTCATCAAATTTTTACTGATTTTGTAATTCATTCTCTCTCTCTCACTCACTACTCACTCACTCCTCACTCACTCACTCCTCACTCTCTCACTCACACACACACACACCACACACTACACCACACACACACTCACCACCACCACACACACACACACACACACACACACACACACACACACACACAAGGTTAGTTCAGAGCTAAGGGAATGTCCATGAATGATAAATTAAGGAAATCGGCTGACGAATTGGAGGACAGGAGTCAGGGAGTCATGATACGAATATAAAAATTGCTTTGGAATAGACAAGGTGGACAAGACAGGATGTTCCAGGAAGGGACATGAAGACATAGGCACTATTGGAAGTTGAAGACACAAATGAGTCAAAGATGGTAGTAAGATTGTTCAGTCATAGAGTTCTTGCGTATGAAAGCTAAAAATTTCGTAGTTGGAGGCGGGACCATACACAGTTTTAAGACGAGGTTGATAAAGCTCAGACGGGAGTAAGTGGCTTAGTAGCAACCGGTGAAAGAGCGGGTCCAGGAGCAGGGCTCGACGACTGCAACACAAATAGGCGTACAAATAAAGTGAGTACACACCATTATTAGGGTATAAGGTCCAGTTTTGTACTTTATTAAGACATCTGGTTTTGGTTCCAGTGTAATAACGAGAAATATTTCCATGCATTTAACTCTTACACAATTATATCATGATTAATTAAAGTTTACGAGAGTGGATTAGGACTGTGTGAGTGCCATTTTGTTAGTCTTAAATGAACACAATGGGATATTAGACTTGGTGCGATAGCTGCAGAATGCTTCTTCGTATTGAGATCAAATTTTCGGTATTAGTGTGTCCTACTACAAGGAAAGCACGGATTTCATTCGACTTCGCAGTTGCGGATTATATTAAAAAATAGTTTTTCATGAGCGCTCTTGTAGAGCACTAATGAATTGTGGTATCAAACTGAAAAATTAATGTTACACCAGTTAATGGGGCTTATACACCCTCTTAATTGTATTTTTTTTAAATACATCGAGTTTCCTAAAGATAATTCATCTGTTTTTGAAATATGCCAATGATATTGCCTCCGTCTTATATAATGAAGTACATGAAAGTTTACGGACATAGCCAACCTAGTTTCATCCAAGTGTTTTCTTAATTATAATATATAATTCAAGTGGGTTGAGTTCTGGCTTTAGGGCCTTTCTGATTGTGCTAGGCATTCTGGGACTTTGGAAGGTGGTAATCGCCAGCTGCTGGACATCTCAAGAGGGTTAATTTATAACAGTTTTCTTGAGAGTTGAGCTGCAGCTCCACTGCTTATTGAGTTTTGAGGCACAGCTGCTAGGCCTCTTGCATGGGGTGACGTACATGGATTATGTGATGAGGGAGACAAACTTCTCACGACTCGCGCAGCAACCAACACGATTTCTTTTATTCAATGGGAAGTCTCTCCTCGGAACCACTGCGGGTTTAGTGTTTCCTTATGCATATAATACAGTAATTGACAAACTCATCCAGCAGACCCCTCACAGTTGGATCCTTGGTACTGGTGAAGGAAATTTGATCCGAGGATTTGGAGCTTCTTTGCCCTTCCTCAGATCAAACGTGATTATTTTTCGTTGCTCTTGCACCGTATGACCCATTGGGGTTTAACACTTTCTCATTTATTTAATGTATAATCAACCATAAAATCTTAAATCGAGTTGATGGCTCATTGAAATACGATACAATACGATACAATATACCTTGCTGATGATGCCCAGCTTTTGGGAGAAGATGGTGGACATCCTGGCAGATTTCTTCGCGATGGAGTGTAGGCTGACTCGACGCATCTTAGCGTGCAGTGAATGATCTACATCACCTCGGTACTTGTACACTGCAATATTATACCGGTACTTAACTCGTACATTACCTGGGCATGTGGGGTATTTTAAGAAAAATTCATTTACCTCTTAGTTTCCACATCTGTTAAAACTCTGCTGAATACCCAATGATTTTTTAAAATATAAAGAAGAAATAAGTGATAGTGGGGATGGGATTCTTTAAGTTTTGGTAATAGGCAATACTCGTTTTAAGGAAAAGTGTATAAGTATAGATGTGATGCAAGGCGTAATAACAACAGTTTATTAAGACTTTGTCTTAGTAAATAAAAAGTGGCTGTACATGTTTTTTGATGAGTGACACACACACTTGTCAGTTCATTGTTTAGTGGTATCTACTGCGAGAGTGAGGGGGTAGACGGGTACAGGAAGAACGTCATTTTTGGGTCAGAGGTGAAAGTGAATAATTTAGAGGATGAGATAGGGTATGATAAATGTAACTACTGAGAGAAATGTAACCTAGAGAAAGCACAGGTAAAAAGGACGGGGTATGTGGTAGATTTAAGAATGTAGTGTTACGAGTCACAGCAGAAGTTTGTGGGTTGGATGTGAGCGGGAAGTGGAGCAAGTGATGAAACAAAGTGGTAATGAAGGTGGTGAAGGAGAAAAAGGTTAACATATAAGTTTTTTTTTTTTACAATGGAGAAGTGACAGACGGTGGAGTAAATGGAGAGAGAAAAAGTACTAAGCGGCGAGGGAGAGCGAATGGAGAACCAGCTAGGGAGAGTGGGTGAAAATTTTAAAAAAAAAAAAATCGCTAAAAATAAGAAAATGTATCAGAAGTGCACCGATTCAGGTAAAGGGGTCATGATCCAAGGAACTGGAGTTACCCTTCAGCTCAAATCTCTTTAAATCCCAAGTGTTGTGTAATCCTAACAGGTTAAACATTTCCCCATGAATGTAATGCAATTGTCACTTTATCATGTAATTTCAGCAGATTTAACATAGAATTAATCGTCTAATACAGTCACAGTATGACTTGTTACTCGTGATTCCCTGGACCAAGTACCGAGGTTGAGGCTCCTGGTATACTCATTGACGTCTCTTGAGGCTTCTTCGAGACACACGAGAGCCTTGTGTAGGTTGCAGTAGTCAGGGTGGCTGCTCTCAGTGCTTTCCATAAGCTTCGACAAATACAGTGGATACCTGTAACATAAATATTAACTATCTATTTAATGCAGCACGTAACCTGGCAATAAAGAAACTCAGAATTTCTAGTCAGGACAACACCAGTTAACCATATTTATTCTTTGCGATGTTTTAAAGGCATATTTCATATTTCTGACATAATTAGATATTTAATTATTAGATATTTAAGTTGTTAATTACATAAATTAACAAAAAGATCCATAAATTAAAGAGATATCAGGACACATTGATTTGTGACTTGTTTGTTTTTTAGGACTAGCTCGCCATGGGTTCAAACCTCACCCGTTCCATGGTTTGCAATCGTGTTATTACGATTTCGTGAGTCTTATTTGGTTTTAATATGTAGACTTCTCTGATGACTGTGATTTTGGGCTTCCCGTTGGGGGTAAGTGTCGTATCTTCGCATCGGGATCTTGTTGCTTCATTGTAGGTCGTGACAGGTTTCGTGACGTGTTTCTTTCCACCTGTTGTTTATGTTCCCCATCAGTAAAATGGGTACCTGGGTGTTAGTCGACTGTGTGGTCTTCTGGGACCTACCTAAGGAGGCTGGTCAAAGACCGGGCCGCGGCGTGACCCCGAACTCTCTCCAGATAAACTCAGATCTTCCAATCAAACGGGAAGAGTTTGCTATCTTCTGCTCGTGAACTCTCGGGAACTCCCTCACTTTCTTTGCTCAACTCTATGTGAAATGACTCGTGCACACTACCATGATGTTTATTCACACGGATCAGTGGACACAGTCTGAACTACAATTGGTTTGCTCTTGATCTAACTTATCCCTTCCTCTATACTCCCTTATTTACCCTGTTATCTTATCTCTTCCCTTCTCCCACACACTTCCTTTCCTCTCCTTTACCCCCTTTCGTCATCCCACAGTAACTAAAAGCAACATAGTCCCCCTCCACAAAGGTGGCAGTAAAGTAATTGCAAAGAATTACAGACCAATAGCACTAACGTCCCATATCATAAAAATCTTCGATAGGGCTCTAAGATGCAAGATCGCCGCTCACCTACATACCCATCTGTTACAACCCAGGGCTCTTGCCTGTCCCAACTACTGGACCACTATGACAAGGTCTTAGATGTACTGGAGGACAAACAGAATCAGATGTAGTATACAGACTTTGTGAAAGCCTCTAGCAAGTGCGTTCATGGTGTAATAGCGCACAAAATGCGTGATAAAGGAATAACAGGAAAAGTTGGTAGATGGATTTATATCTTCTTAGCAAATAGAACACACAGTAATAGTAAACAGAGTAAAGTCTGAGGCTGCTACTGTGAAAAGCTCGGTTCCACAAGACACTGAAGCCAAAGCACCGTGTCTTCCTTTAGAGATGACACCCGAATTTGCATGACGGTGTCATCTATCAAAGACACTGAAAGTCTCCAAAGCGGACATGAACCAAATCTAACCTGACTAGGTTAAGGCATTAGTTAAGCTTAAGGCGGTGGGAGAATTGGACCTGCCTCGCATGGGCCAGTAGGCCTGCTGCATTGTTCCTTCTTTCTTATGTTTAAATGGGCTGTGGAAAACAACATGAAGCTCATTGAGAGTAATTTCAATTACTCCGATATGGAAAACTCGAGGAAATTAAAACTGTATAGGAGTTTAAAACAAATTCCAACCACACAATAGAGCGAAAAACTAATGTGAAGGACCTTGAGTGATAATGTCAAACGATCTCCCTTTCAAAAATCACAATGTATCTAACACATCTGCTAGGAAAATGATAGGATGGATAATGAGAACCTTCAGAACTAGGGATGCCAAGCCCATGATTCTCTTCAGATCGCTTTTTCTCTCTCAAGCTAGAATATTGCTGTACACTAACGTCCCCTTTCAAGGCAGACGAAATTGCAGACCTAGAATATGTACACAGAAGTTTCAGGGCACACATAAACACGATAAAAACTCCTAAACTACTGGGAACGTTAAAGTCCTTTGGTTTGTATTCCCTGGAATGCAGGCGAGAAAGATATATAATATACACTTGGAATATCCGAGAGGGACTAGTCCCAAATTTGCACACAAAAATCACTCCCTATGAAAGCAAAAAACTGGTCAGGAGATGCAACATCCCCCTCAATGAAAATCAGGGGCGCCACGAGTACTGAGACAACACAGTCAGTGTCAGGGGCCCGAGACTGTTCAACTACCTCTCAGCTTACATAAGGGGGATTACCAATAGACCCCTGGCTGTCTTCTAGAAGGCGCTGGACAGGCACCTAAAGTCAGTACCTGATCAGCCGGGCTGTGGTTCGTACATCGGTTTGCATGCGGCCAGCAGTAACAACCTTGTTGATCAGATCCTGATACACCGCGAGGCCTGGCCACAGACCGAGCTGCGGGGGCGTTGATCCCCGAGACCCTCCCCAGGTACACTCAGGTATCTTCCTCTTTCTCATTAATTCTCTTTATTTCATTGTCTTTAATTATTTTTCCTGATCCACCTCTGTAATCTTTACTTAACGTTGTTCCTCTCGAATAGGCGAGTACAGATACTAAACACGTCTACACGTCTGTCTTGCACTCAGCAGGCGGAGGATCAAGCTTCCACCACGTATTGCGCTGAATGACCCACATAGGTTTAGCACTTAAAATTATTTTGTTGTTGTAAGGAGATTAACCGATACTACTGAACAGTTCTTGATCTAAGAACAATTTGAGTCCGTGGGTCTAACACTTCCCCTGAATATAATACGTCCAGGTCTCCTCTATACTCATCTAGGGTCACTTACTTGAGGATGCGCTGGACGGGTTTGATGAGTGCCGTATTTAGAGTGAGGAGGTGAGGACGCTTGAGGTGCAGCTCCTGGGCCAGCCTCCCTAGCTCCTCCGTGGCGGCCTCGCACGACTCGTACTGTGGTGGGTGAGGTAAGAGAATAATGATTAGATGATGCAGTTACTCAGTGCTGGCGGGCGGTGGATCGAGCCTCCACCATCCTTGCGCTGACTCACCTGGGAGTAAAACTTTATTATATTCAATACTATTGACCCACGTGCATAAAAATAAATGAAATTTAATTTCATAAAATTATAAATTAACTCGGTATAGATATCCGAAAACCCCATAGTAAGCCCAGTATAACATTACCTGACAGAATTCCGGGGGTCAACGCCCCTGCGGCCCGGTCTGTGACTAGGCCTCATGGTGGATCAGAGCCTGATCAACCAGGCTGCTACTGCTGGCTGCACGCAATCCAACGTACGAGCCACAGCCCGGCTGGTCAGGAACCGACTTTAGGTGCTTGTCCAGTGCCTGCTTAAAGACAGCCAGGGGTCTATTGGTAATCCCCCTTATGTATGCTGGGAGGCAGTTGAACAGTCTCGGGCCCCTGACACTTATTGTATTGTCTCTTAATGTGCTAGTGACACCCCTGCTTTTCATTGGGGGAATGTTGCATCGTCTGCCGAGTCTTTTGCTTTCGTTATGAGTGATTTTCGTGTGCAAGTTCGGTACTAGTCCCTCTAGGATTTTCCAGGTGTATATAATCATGTATCTCTCCCGCCTGCGTTCCAGGGAGTACAGGTTCAGGAACTTCAAGCTCTCCCAGTAATTGAGGTGTTTTATCTCCGTTATGCGCGCCGTGAAGGTTCTCTGTACATTTTCTAGGTCAGCAATTCCACCTGTCCTCAAGTGAGTCAGTGTAGTCTACACATAACGTGGTTTCGACATTTTGGTGTGAAAACGTTCCGCCATTAAATGAGTCCGTGCCTTTATCATAATAACTTTGCATTGGTAGTAATAACGTTCGATCAACGATGTTCGTATTCTGATAGACAAAACTTCTTCACAATAAAATGCCATAACTTACATTGTGTCTCATGAAAACACTGTCGGTATGTTAATGAGACACAGGTAATACCGACATACATACCGATGTGTCGGTATTACCTTAAATGTGGCTTATTGATTCAGTGTCAGTTTATCTGAATATTATGCTGGTACAAAGACAAAGCCATATATAGTTCATAAAGGACTCTGACTCTTATAGGTATAGTATTTACTCATGAACATAATACAGTTGGGGAATAAGTACTAGGTATTAGAGACTACAGTGATATTTGATGAATATCCTTGGTGCAAGTGTATTGATGACGGTCAAGGGCTGTCAGTCTAGGAAACAGGAGCTACCTTCTCTCAAATTAAATAAAGTTTCTTTCAGTTCCCCAGGCACTCTGCTCCATACAGGTTTAGCATTTCCTCTTACAATAATAATAATACAGTACCTGTGAAATGGAAAGATGGGGAATCAGGTTTGAGTCGAGGAAGGAAGAGTTATTTAATATCCTTGAATAAAGTCTTTTAACCAGCATCAAGACTCTTCCTCGTCATAATAAAATCTCTGATAGGCGTTATGTACCTTCTTCAGCAGAGGCAGGACCTCGACGCTGTAGGTGGAGCAATAGGTCTTGTACACCTGACACAGCTCGCTGGCAAACTGGAGGAACACCTCTCCTACCTGAGCCTGCTCCTCCATGTTCTGCTGTTCACTCTCCAGCGTCTCCATCAGCCTCTTGGCCACCTCCAACACCTGCAGCAGTAAATGTAGTGTGAGTTGAACTGGTTTTAAGTGAACAAAAACTAAAAGCTATATGATCTTTAATCAGCGAATTGCAACAACCTTTTCCTTCCCAGAATCAAACCAAAATACCTTAACCCTTGTATAGTTATAGGATGCACTTAACCCCAACGGGTTAATTGCATCTTATAAATATATTAGACAAAGAAAGTTAAGCCAGGTTACCAAGTAGTGGATGAACTTAGGTACGTATTGTGGCATAATATTGAAAATGTTTAATGAAAAAGTTGAAAATGCTGGTAGGCCTCCACAACCAGACGTGCTCCCCTAACTACGGTCACGTGGGTTAGTTTAATATGTTTATTATGCACCCCATACCCATCCTGTGGGTGGTCAAAAGATTACAGAGGTACATAATGGGTCCAGGGACTGGGCCCCCAAAGTTTTGATAGCTGAACCAGGTACGTGGGGATGGCCCAGTAGCGAAGCATATAGCCTTAACAATGCTTGTGTGCGTGTCGGGGAGAGACAGCTCGCCTTCTGGTAATGAGAGAGAATTCGGGGGATTTTCTTGTGGCTGCTCCCAATTCCCATTTGCACTGGTGTTGTCCTTTGCCATGGGACCTTCTGTACGAGCAGAACACAGATGCATCTGCGGTAGTGCATCGGCAGACCAATTCGGATGCTTTCGTCTTGTTTGTCGTAGATCCATGAAAAAGAATGCATGGCATGAAGAGGTTATATCACCAAGAGGAGCCTTGTAACAGCTAGACACCCAGCAATAAGGAAGAAGTCCCAACTATGCACATCTAATGGCAACCAAAAGCGTAGAAATGGAATTATCTTGCAAGCTTGGACAGATGGCAAGCAGGTTGTATGTGACTATACATGTGAATCCACATTAGCTGATACCTATCTCAGAAATGGCAGGGAGGCAGGAGGAGCAGCTGCCAGCTTCGTGAAATCTCAAAAGTCTAGAAAATATGAATTTGTTTATTACATTTTTCTTCCAGTAAGTTCGGAGATTCTCAGTCCATGGTGAGTGCATCCAAGTCCTTAAATAGTCAGACAAAAGTTATCAGGGTAACTAAAGATTAAAGGGAAGCTAGTTTTTTGTTCCGGTAGTTCAATGTTGCAGCTCAGAAGAGTTCGAGCTTCCTGTTCGTCTTTGTGTGTGTGTACTCACCTATTTGTACTCGCCTATTTGTGGTTGCAGGGGTCGATTCACAGCTCCTGGCCCCGCCTCTTCACTGATTGCTACTAGGTCCTCTCTCTCCCTGCTCCATGAGCTTTATCATACCTCGCCTTAAAACTATGTATGGTTCCCGCCTCCACTACTTCACTTTCTAGGCTATTCCACGGCTTGACTACTCTATGACTGAAGAAATACTTCCTAACATCCCATTGATTCATCTGAGTCTTCAACTTCCAATTGTGACCTCTTGTGTCTGTGTCCCATCTCTGGAACATCGCGTCTTTGTCCACCTCGTCTATTCCGCGCAGTATTTTATATGTCGTTATCATGTCTCCCCTGACCCTCCTTGCCTCCAGTGTCGTCAGGCCGATTTCCCTCAACCTTTCTTCGTAGGACAATCCCCGTAGCTCTGGGACTAGTCTTGTTGCAAACCTTTGCACTTTCTCTAATTTCTTGACGTGCTTGACTAGGTGTGGATTCCAAACTGGTGCTGCATACTCAGTATGGGCCTGACGTAAATGGTATACAGAGTCTTGAACGAATCCTTACTGAGGTATCGGAACGCTATCCGTAGGTTTGCCAGGCGCCCGTATGCTGCAGCAGTTATCTGATTGATGTGCGCCTCGGGAGATATGCTCGGTGTTATACTCACCCCAGATCTTTTTCCTTGAGTGAGGTTTGCAGACTTTGGCCGTCTAAACTATATTGTGTCTGCGGTCTTCTTTGCCCTTCCCCAATCTTCATGACTTTGCATTTGGCAGGGTTAAACTCAAGGAGCCAGTTGCTGGAACAGGCTTGTAGCCTGTCCAGGTCTCTTTGTAGTCCTGCCTGATCCTCATCCGATTTGATTCTTCTCATTAACTTCACATCGTCCGAAAACAAGGACACTTTTGAGTCTATCCCTTCCGTTATGTCATTCACATATACCAAGAACAGCACAGGTCCTAGGACTGACCCCTGTGGAACCCCGCTTGTCACAGGCGCCCACTCTGACACCTCGTCACGTACCATGACTCGTTGTTGCCTCCCTGTCAGGTATTCTCTGATCCATTGCAGTGCCTTTCCTGTTATGTGTGCCTGATCTTCTAGCTTTTGCAGTAACCTCTTGTGAGGAACTGTGTCGAAGGCCCTCTTGCAATCCAAAAAAATGCAGTCGATCCACCCCTCTCTCTCTTGTCTTACTTCTGTCACCTTGTCATAAAACTCTAGTAGGTTTGTGACACAGGATTTTCCCTCCCTGAAACCATGCTGGTTGTCAATTATACACTTGTTTCTTTCCAGGTGCTCCACCACTCTCCTCATGATGATCTTCTCCATGACCTTGCATACTATACACGTTAGTGATACAGGTCTGTAGTTTAGTGCCTCATGTCTGTCTCCATTTTTAAAAATTGGGACTACATTTGCCATTTTCCATACCTCAGGGAGTTGCCTAGTTTCAAATGATGTGTTGATCTTTGTTAACGGTACACACAATATCTCTGTTCCCTCTTTAAGGACCCACGGAGAGAGGTCTGGTCCCACCGCCTTTGAGGTGTCAAGTTCGCATAGCAGCTTCTTCACCTCCTCCTTGGTTATATGTACCTCATCCAGCACTTGCTGGTGCACCCCCCTGCTCTGATTTCCTGGAGTCCTACTGGTTTCCACTGTAAATACTTCTTTAAATCTTGTGTTGAGCTCCTGACATCCCTCCCGGTCTTTTCTTGTAAATTTCCCATCACCCTTCCTCAGTCTGATTACCGGGCCCTTTGACTGTTGTTTTTCCTCCTGATGTGGCTGTAAAAACACTTTCCGGTCAGTCTTACTTTCGTCTATGTCTTTTCGTATTGCCGCGAGCCCCCTTATCGGCATATTCTTTCGACTCTTCGGGTAATCTCTTTATTTTTTCCCGAGTTCTCTGTCTTTTGTAAACCCCTTTTCCATTCTCTGTATCCTAGTTTTTTGCCTCCCTACACCTTTGGGGGGAAACCAGGCTCGTTCTGTTTTTTCCCTTATTCTGTTTTCCCTTAGGAACAAACCTCTCCCCTTTCCTCCTTGCATTTTGTTGCCAAACCCATTTCTTGTACTGGTTTTCCGTCTTCCCCCCCACTGAAAAGTTTTAAAGAAGTTCCCCCAACCTAGTAGTTCCCCCTTTTTTAGTTTGGTTTTTTCCCCCCTTTCCTGCTGCCTCTCCACTTGGAGCTCAAATTGTAATTTGAAGACAGAAACCACATTCCAGCTCCCAGGGGCCTTTCTACATGAATCCTCGATGTCAGAACTACTCAAAGGGGAAAACAAAGGGCCAGTCTTGCGGTTATCCTCTCCTCTCTCTTGGTAGGCTCTAACATGTTAGCTTTGGGTTTTCCAGACCACATCCACATCTTGCCTCCCCTTTTCGGGACCCCCATGGGGCTCCAGGTTTTTTCCCCGTCAATTCCTTGGATTGAATCACCCAAACTAGTAAATTTCTCCCCCCATGTGTGCTCTCCTGGGGCCCCCTTGGCTAGGTGTCGACCCTTGCTCTGTTGTCTCATCGTATTCTTCTCTTTGGCTCCTGCAGTTCTGTGGTGGGTTGTACATTACTGCATTATCACCTTATGTCCCTCAGACTGGATTTTTCCCTACTAAGTAGTCCCTTTCGCCCAGCCATCCATTCCTTCCATTTTCTCAACCCCCACTGGTTTTTAATGAGCAGTGAAAACTCCTCCTCCCCCTCTCCCTCCCTCTGTCTTTCCTGAGGATTTGATATCCGGGTGGAAAGATTGAATCTGTTATTATTCTGGTGGGGTTTTGTTTCTGTGGTGCTATTATGTCTGGGGATGTCTCCTTGATTCTTTCGTGCCACTCCTCATACTTATTTGTTATTCCATCTGCATTTGTATACCACACCTTCAACTTCTTTCCTAAGATTGTGGTCGGGGGGGGGTTTGTATTGGGGTTGGGGAAGTGGGGAGAGACTGATAAGGAACTATGGGTGGTTGCTGTGGGGGGTGGAGTTTGTAATGCAGTGGGTGGGGGCATTGGATGTGGCATGGGTGTTTTGGTTTAGTGTTTGATTGCACTGGGGTTGACCTGGTTGGGAGGCTTCTATAGGAAGTTGAGGGAGGATGTATTTGATCTTCCTGTGTCTGGGATCTCCTGTCTGTCTTCTCCATCCCCTCTCTTTCCTCCTTTCGCCTTTGTACCATCTCTCTCTTTCTGCCTTTCTGCTTGTGTTCTGTCACAGTCGAGATACACCTTCCTGTATGCCGGCATGTCCCTTAATCGTGCTTTCTTCTGCAGGATCCTGTTCTGAGTCGATTCTGTCTTGAAGGTCACTTTCACTGGCCGGGTTCTTTTTTTTACAAACCCTCCTATTCTCCGAAAATTTTCCAGCTGGGTCATGTCGTCTTCTCCTATTACTTTCATGATGCTTTCAATTGGTTTTTTTTCCCTTGTTTTCTTGCTTCATATGTTTCCCCTTCAACTTCCTGGACCCCATACACAAAGACTGACCTCACCCTTTCTTTTCCTCCCACTGCATACCCCTGTGTATCCCTTCATTCAATTTGATTTCCTCCATTGCAGCTTTCCTTTCTTCAGTTTCACTAGCTAATGTGCTTGGGCTCAGTGGCCTGTCATTTCCCCTTCTCGGCTTTTCCCCTGGGCTCTGCTGGGGTCTGTTAGGCCTCCACTTATAGCTTAGCTCTTTCATTTTCTACGTCTCCACTGATTGAGCTTCTACATGCATTTTTGGGCTCCTACTTTCCCTACAGTCCCCTTATTTGTGGCTGAGGTTAGCAGTCTCTGTGTCAATCCCAAAAATGTTCTTTAGTTCTTTAGGCTGTTTCAGATTTTT